CATCTACCTAACCATGAGCAGTCATCAAATGTGCAACATTTTATTGAAACATTTATTCACTCATCTTTCCTGAATTACTTGCAACCTCAATCTCGTTCCCAAATCTTCAGAGCAAGTGATAAGAGAATGGAAGAACAACACTGTACTAATGAGGCATGTTCCCAGAAAAGCAGAACCACATTACCATTAATTTCTTCATTGAGTCCACTGGCATGTGTTGTGTGACGAGAGAGTATTTTCATCAATTAAGTGAAGACCAAAACTACATTATTTATTCTATCCATCTCCCCATCATGTGCTGAATTAGGCATTCTGGGGCATTTGTTTTTCCCAGTAGCTAGTTACTTTGAACGCACGGATAATCAACTCTACATTTCCAAGTGTCTAATTAAAAGTTGTTAAGTGAAACACGAAATGGAGAACACCCGCAATAATTCTTCGACTCCTGGAGATCCTAAGACATGCTACAAAAATAGGTCTTTATTCTTAGGAAAATATAGTCAGAGCTAGCTTCCTTATGCTATACATAAAATCTTAACATCAGAGGCAGTACAGATAGTACAGATAGTTTTGAACTGATCTCCAAACAAGCACAAACCCACTACGTTGAAAAGAACAGGTAATTTGAGGTTTTTGGCAAAAGACAGTACTTCATATCTAATCCAAATCAAAGAGCCTGCAGACAGTTTTCAGTGATGAAAGGAATGAAATAAATATAAATCCTATGGATAAATAAATGTAAGACAATTTAAATAAGCTAAAAGAATATTTTTTAAATAAAAATACTAATCAGGTACAAGCTTTTGTTTCTCAATTTCAGACTGCTAAATATTTATCAGACTACTGTTAACATTAAAAACCTCATCTTGGACCAGGACATTACTTATAATACTGAGTTGCATTCATAAAAGTTTTTTTTTCCCCAGAGTGCTTCTGGTCCAGGAAAACATTTTAGGTGATTACTGAAGGCAGACTGTGGTACTAATACAACTTCTAGCTTAAGTACTCTTTGAAAAATTGACAGGCCCAAAAATTCTGTCAACTAATTTGTCCACAGTTAAAAATGTCTTCGAACATTGGTTCATAATTAGCATCTTAAAGTAGTGGCAAGCCCTATTGAGTGGTATGATTAAACTAATTAACACTACACTTTAAAACACCATCCCCACAAGTCTGCTCATTTTGTCCACTAAGTTCTCTATTCATTCATTTTATACCCACCTCTGAATTCCTGTAGTCAGATAAAAATTTTATGCTATACATCCTTGGGGGGAAAACTGTCAGGGTGGGTATTTTTGGAAGTTTTAGAAACCTGAGTAATCATTTACTCTAGGGTTAACTCCTACTTCTCCATGCCTAAAGTCCCCCTACTTTTTCTTCCCTTAGAGACTACATGTCAATCTGTAGTAACAAGGTGATCTGATCAACAATGCCTTTTGGCTCAGCAGGCATAAAAGTTGTCCTAAGTGTGACAATTTTGTCCACCTAGTATGATGTTCACCCTGATATTAAGTTTTTCAAATACATACAAGTGAATACCAATCACCCCATCAAACCATTCCTGTGTTGTTCCTATTTTGTCACAGGGAAAATGTTTCTACTTTGTTAGATCAGACTTGCAGAAATTGGTAAATTTCTCATGATGCTATAGAGCAATCCACATCATGAGTGTACAACTGCTCTTTTTGTGCTCAATCCCCCCTGCACTTCTAATATCTGATTCAGTTCCAATAAATTAAAATCTTCAACAAAAAGCATGTTTGGGAAAATACAAGAAACACAATTTTCTCAGAAAACTTTGTCAAAACTTATTGAACTAAATTGATCGTTTTTGATTGCCAAGTAGTCTGCAGAAACAAAATCTTGCGTCTGTTTTAAATTCAGTAACTCAAGTTTTTTTTTTTTTTTTTAAACAATCAATGCTTTAAGGAGATACATTTTTTACCCCAAGGAAGGGACTTAACTCTTAAAGATCCATTCCTTGACAATATATACAAAATTTCTTTAACTTGTCATCTGTCCATTCTTTGAAGCTGTCAAAGCCAAGAACCCATAAACAAATCACAAATAGCAATAACCTACATTAGTTAACATTCCCCTTTTAACAAGTTGACATTTTTACTAAAGGATTAGTTATTTTTGCATTTCCATTTCTCATATCCCATGACATTCCATATAAATTGCATTATTGCTTTATAGGCCACACAACATTCAAAAGTATGTTTATATGCATTGCCTGTTTTCCTTGATCTCTGATAAGAGTTTGATACTGATTTTACTACAGAAATTTAAGTTTGAAAATACCAGTTAGTATTTCTTCTCAGAACTTAATTGTTCACATCACTAATCACTACATGCATATTTAGCTCTGATTATATTGCTCAAAAACTGCACCCATTATCAGAACAGTGCAAACGATATTTAATTTTAAAAGTAATTATAATGGCTTGAATTCAAAGTTATTCAAATGAACACTGTCAAGTAATTTCACTTGAGTGTATATATATTTCATCACCACTGTTTACATTACCCATCAATTCTTCATATTTCTGTTTTCCCTCCCAAACCCCCAACTAAGAATGCCAAATAGTCTTAGAAACCCACAGCTCTATATTTTAATGTTTTCTTAAGAACACATTTGTGAACTCACAAAAATGTTCATCTTTCAACTTTGACAATGCAGTTCTTAAGTCAAACAAACCCATCCTAAAATTCCAACAAGTAATTCTGAGAATTAAACACCTTGACAGTGTCCCTTAAAAGGGGTATGACAGTAAAGTGCCAATAGGCATGGCAATGACCTCTTTGATGGGATCATTTAACTCCTTGGAACTGGAAAATGCCAGCACCAAGGATTACACTGAGATTCAATTTTACTGAAGGCTACATTTAGTTTACCCAACTTTCTACAACCTATTATACTCATTATATGTTAGAATGAAATGTAAATGTTTTGTGTAGCCCTCAAACTTACGCTGAGATTTGAGAGAGATGTACTTTAAAAAAGCACGGGGTAATATATAAAATCAGTGGCAGAAAGTTTCATTAAGCACCAGGAACTAATTTTTGTCACCCCATACTCATTTTGTAGGTAAGTTTCAATAACCGGCAAGGCACATTTACATATATTCCAATGAATACTTGACAAAATTTAAATTACACTCTATGTCCCAGCTATCCCAGTAACTGACATACAACATACTAAAATGGTTTATTAAGATAACAAAAAACCAATTAATGTGAAACATACAGGCTATTGGCAACCACTATTCTAAAATTATGTAAATACAAATAAACATACTAAAATGTGTGCATTTCTAAGTTTTAAACCAGAATATTTCTACACTAACACACATTTATATTAATGACACATAAAAAAAATAAAAACTTTATTACAAAAATAAGTTACACTCGCCTCCAGCTTACAGTATAAAACAATTTTATTTGCAGGAATGCAAAATGATTGTTTGCCATGAGCATTTTGAACATATGACATGTCTAATTTTCTTGTTAAATTTGCATTTACTGGGGGAACTGGTGTGTATAAAACCTTAATTAAGTATAATAAGCTCTGATCTTCATTGTGGTGCCTATTGGGTATTGTGATATAACTGCAGTATCCCTTTGGGGAAGGGGAAAGGGATTTCTTTATACCAAGTCCTAATTAAACTATAATTTCACTTTTGACTTTAAGCTATCAATTTAGGACTTGGCAAAAATTTTTTGAGGGTGATTCAATAGAGGATGCTTCACCACCGGAACACTCACTGTCATCAAGGTGCTTTAGAAAATTAAAAACAGCACAAATGATTGTACTCTATTCTACAAGTTATCATGACCTGCATAAGAAATGGAAAGCTGACTCACATTTTTGCAGTGATCAGCCAGTAAGAAATGCACTAATGAAACATACCTTTTACCTAAAAAGCTAAACTACAGCCATATACTAATTTCTATGATTTATGAAAAAACTTCAAAATATCCAAATGTCAGGCTTCGCTGTACAATTGTCAGTTTTAGTCTGACTTTTTATAAAGGGACACTGCAGTATTTAGTACAAGTTCGGATGCACTTTTTTTGAACATCTGATGTCTTACAAAAGTAACATCTTGCTAAACTATTATACATCCAAATAACTACAATATCTGAAGAAGCAAGGCTGCTTTTTCAGCCACAAAATACGACAAAAGCAAGGCCTGTTATGATGGTCATGAGGAAGTCTTACAAGCCTCTGAAACTAAAGGCAACTAAGAATGTTACATTTGGTATATTAAAATCTTACCCTCATATCATTTAACAAGCCTTGCTTTTATCTACAAAGATTTTCTATGTACAGTACAGACAGGGTATAGTTCAATCCTCTGCTACTGAGGTAGTTAACCAACCCTTTAAAAAAGGTTCTGAAAAGAACCACTATCTGGAATGCCTGACTAACCAGCTCTGATGATTACACCTGAAACTGCATATCTGAACACAATTCAAAAGTGATTACTATAAAAAAGATATAGACAATCATGATTAACCTTGGTGAGCAGAAATAAAATTTAAGGATACCAACAATGGCATTCATCTATACCACTGCAATAAAATTTAAATGCACAAATTTAAGAGAATAGTTCAGAAAACCACTGCTGGGATCCTTAATTTAAAAAAACAGGGGAAAAATCTACTTAGAGCAGATTTTTGAACGAGAAAAACTTTATTCTTTATTAAGATAACCATGCTAGAAGTTATGAAGGATCTCTGTTGGAACACATTTGGAAAATAGAGAAGCTTTAGTTTAATAACTTGCACTGCAGAGAAAATTGTTAAAGAAAATTCATTTCAAAGTCCAAGTATTAGTTCAATGTCCTGTATTTGATTCCATGATCTTCATAAGTAGGTCTTCTGCAATAGAATATGCTCCTACACAGCCGAGATATTTAAGGTTGCTTGATTTCCTTACCATTACTCCACTGCAAGCTTCTGGTGTAATCCCACATAGCAAGTCAGTCTTCATT